TATTTTTAGTTGTTTACGTTTCGTTCGTGCCCTAGCGGACAAGTCAGCAACAAGCTTTTATATCATATAAATTGACATTACTCTACTGCAATGCGTTATTATCTAGATTATTATTAATTATCGTTATTATCACTAGATTCTTAATCTAAAAATGTTTTTTGTCCTGACATGTATTTACATTTTATTTTTTAATTTCAAGTCGGTGAGTTTTATCAAAAGAACACAAGAGATAAAAAAGTTTCTAAACAAACTAAACTATCCAAATTAAAGCATTTGCATGTGTTTGATAAGATTTTTCTTTAAATTTCGTTAACAAGAATGATAGAGGTAGTTTATTTCAACCCCTTCCACTCATTTTAAAAAAGTGAAAAAATTACCTGAAAGTGTGTTTTCATAACAGTAATGCTTCCATAACATTTCATTAGTCTATCTCTTTTCGTTTTCAAGATAAAAAATAAAAACATTATTTTTCCGCCATCTTTGTACCGCGATATCTCCCTAATGGTTCACTTTTAACCCAACGTTTATAAAGCAAACTACCCTTTATTTTGAACAAGGAATCACCCCCTAAAGTTTTTCGTATTTGTTTTGAAACACCCTGTATAAAATCCTTAAGTGACTGACATACTGACTAATCACGATCCTGCTCAAACCACTCAACGTAAGAAGCTCAGTTTTGGCATATAGGTTGATTCTAGGGTGTAGAGGTTCGATAAGAAGGGATTTTTCGAAATTCCAGTTCCAAGAGGGTGAAACCACCCCTCAAATATTACAATATTTTTTATTTAAAAAACGGTCAAGTTTCCGAAAAAACGCTTAAACACGCATATTTTATTTTGTTTTTTTACATATTTTAAGATTTTTTAAAAATGTATACAGGGTGTTTCGAAAAATCTGGTAATTGATTAATCACGATCCTGCTTAAAGCGCTTGACGTAAAAAGCTGATTTTCGGAAAACAGATTGACTTTAGGGTGTAGAGTTTCGATAAGAAGGAATTTTTCGAAACTGGAATTCTAAGGGGGTAAAACTATCCCTCAAATATTAAAATATTTTTTATTTAAAAACCGGTGAGTTTTTCGGAAAAACTCTTAAACACGTATATTTTATTTTGTTGTTTTACATATTTTAAGATTTTTTTATAAATTTATACAGGGTGTTTCCTAAAATATGACCATTGAATAATCACGATTCTGCTTAAACTGCTTGACGTTTAAAGCTGATTTTTGGCAAACGGATTGACTGTGGGGTGTAGAGGAATCTCAAATTCCAAGAGGGTGAAAACACCCCTCAAATATTACAGTATTTATTATTTAAAAAACGGTTAGTCTTTCGGGAGAACGCTTGGACAAGCATAATTTATTTGGTTTTTTTACATATTTTGAAATTTTTTAAAAAATCATACAGGGTGTTCCAAAAGTTGGGTAATTTCTTAACCACGATTCTGCTGAAACAGCTTGACGTAAAAAGCTTATTTTTGGCAAACGGATTTTTCGAAAGTCAAATTCCAACCAGATGAAACTACCCCTCAAATACTACCAAGTTACTGTTTGACCAGCGGATCTGAAGCTACGGAAGGAATGCGAGAAAAAAAAATCGATATTGCCACGTTTATCTATAAAATTGCAAAATTGCCAGACATGAACTATAAATTTAATATATTTTTATTATATATAATGTGTTTAGCATATATTCTGACGTATATTATATATTAATAACTTATTTCTTTCATTCTGTATAATCTGCTTATTATTAAAGTTGAAGATTTTTCAACGATATCATTGGCAAACCGGCATCGCCGCGCATGGCCGCCTATTCATCGAACATGATTGGCGAGAGTACGTCAAAGGATTTGTTACCACGCGGTTGCCATAGCTTTTACGCCTTTCCTATTCGCTTGCTTTATCCCCAACTTCACGGTCTCTTCTGAAAAGAGTAGGAATATTGAATACTATTGAAATATCCAGTGGCGATGTCATTTTTTTGATCATTATTACTTTATTTCATTATTTTATACCGGTTATCCTAAACTTTATTCCTATATTTTTAGTATATTTGATAGTTAAGTTGTGTTTTATTGTTTTGTTATCTTGTTATAATGTTTTTCGTTCGTAGTTTTTAATTATTAATATCAAGTTTGATCGTATATTTGTGTTTTAAAACGAATAAATTTGTTAAGGGTAAGACGCTACATAGTCAGACAAGAGAAATAATAGCTAATTTATATAGGTAAGTTAATAATAACGTGGATGAAATCTCATTTGGTGTATTTCCTTGTGTTCATAATAGGGTTTGCGATGAAGAAGCTACAGAGAGTTCGCTTGAGTTGCCGCTTAAACGTAAACTTGAGCGGATATTTCTTTATACCGGAGTTAGCGTATCGGCTATAAAAAAATTCACACAGAAGATAAAAAAAAAGGCTGAAAACTAACCCCGATAAAATGATATCCTCTCTGGAAAGAAACGACCACGTGAGACTGCTGTCGAAAAGCTCAACGACTTTTTCGAAGTGGTCAGGAATTTGATAAATAGATTTTATCTCGAATTCAAACTCGTCCCCACAATTAGAAAGCTTTTGCAAAAATTGCAGGAAGAATCGAATTTTCCTTTTGCAGGGAAACGCTTAGGGGGTTATTAAAATCAAATGAATTTTTTTGGCGTAAATGTTAAAATAACAGATAAATATTAATGGAGCGGCCCATTATATTGCAGAGAGAGATATAAATATATATACGCGAAATTCGAAAATATAGCCAAGTATTATCTATTTGGATGTAACATATGGGTAGACAATGACCTAACCTTTAAAAACTGCTGGCGGAGCGATACCATATCTGGTGTAATAGGCAATATCAGATCTACTGATGAGTAAAATTATGTTTTGTTTGCGCTTCCAAAGTTAACTATTTTCAAGATTTTTTTTTGCTGGAAATAGTTATATCTAAAATTATGTATTATAAAAAAAAATATAGTTAGTACAGATATATAAATAAATATACCTCAAGACTCAGTCTTGATCATCTGCTGATGGCAGACATGGTTAGCGAAACATGCGTCCAGTGTAAAATTAAAAGTGTTTTGGTGTATTGTACTGATTTAGAGTTTTATTTTGCTGTGTAACACCAAAGGTTCCAACCCCCAGCTGTAATTATTTCTTCTATTATATTAACAACACAATAATAAAATGATTCAAAATATTTAAGGAAGCTTTTAGTGTTTATCTGCTAACTCAACAGTAACGATTCAAACAGCATAAAGTTTTTTGAAAAAAATTATTAATCTGAGTATTATATTTATGATACACATTATTTTCATATAACACCGTACGCCCATGCCTATTTTATGAATGAAATTGGGCGTGTTTTGTTTACAACTGCATTCCCCTGCCGATACCCCGTAGCTACAGATCCGTTGGTCACACTTTATATAATAATATCGCCATATTGTTTTTTCCCATGCTGACATAAATGTGAGATAATTTTATCCAGTTTGTATGTTAATGGAAATTCTTGCTTTGCTTTATCATCACCATTACAAATGATTAATTCGACGCGAACGAAGTCGTTGGTACACGCTAGTGAGATTATAAGTTGATAGTAAAAGTGTTACAGAAAATTATTATCCTTAAACTTTTGTTTTTTACATATTTTAGGCCCATAAAGCAAAAAATAGCAGCCTAAGCTAAAACTTATCAAGTTAAAAAAAATCCTTCCTAACCTTAATGTGGGACTGATTACCAGGAATCGATTAGTTCTATTTTAAAAACGGTAAGAGTGGCTGGTTTTGGAGATCCTGCTTCTCATGATTTGCCAAGTGGGACGTTAGCAACCAAAATAAAAGTAACTATAGCTCAAAATTGGTAGGTGTGGCTGGGTTGGGATTTCAAGCAGGATAAACCAAGATTGTAGCAGCCCAAGCAGGATCGTATTTAATAATTCCTGCTTTCAATGAGTTGCTAACTTCACCAATCTGTAGTTTGGATATGGCGTTTGTCGCCCCAGCCTGAATAAAAAAAAACAACGCTTTATTGTGCAAAAAGCCAAAACAGCTTCATTGACAAAGCACTCACAAACAACAAAATCGCAAAAAAATACACAATACAAATAATACAATTCAAAAAGATTTAAGTCTTTAAAATTACAAAGAGAATATACATGGACAATTTTAGAACAGTACGCAGTAAATAGATATAATTTTAAAGTTATAGAATATTAAATACTTGACCTTTGACCAGTGTGTGAGATGATCAAAATTTTAAAATTCAAAATTGTTCATAATTAAACATCAACAAAAAAGTCGTTTACCGCATATAGGGCTCTCTCCAAAGGCAGATGAGTGTACATTTTTTTGGCATTGTACAGTATTGCACCCTTAACTAGTTCTGAGCTCGGGGTTGGCAGATAAAGATCGTGCTCTGCATTCCTAAGTGGATAGTTATATCTCTATAGTTATATCTCTATATATCTGTTGGTAATTTACTTATTTCGTTTTGAGCCATTTCTGGCTCCAATTCAATCAGCAATCGACACGAAAGAGAATTAAAAAATATTGACTCAAGACTGACAACTAAAGAGACAGCTTTATTTATTTGTCAAATTACATAGAAACCAACGCCAACCCAGCACAATATTTTTTCTACTCGTAATAAATTTATAACAAAATTGTTGAATAGTGCTTAAAGAGAGACTAAATAAAATAAACTGACTTGGTTTTACATGAACTCTCACAACTTTTTATAGTGGAAGAATTATGTTCCGAGACTTGTATACCAATTACAAATGTTTATCAAGTACGCGAGTAGTAGTAATAATATATATTAATATCTACATCGTTTATCTATGACTTGTTTTTATATGACATCTGACAATTTTGTGTAGCGGAAGAACGGCCGGCGTGGCTGAGAATTTTTTACACTTTCAGTTTTTGGTGGAATAAAAGAGATTACTTGGTCTTTGGTGCTAAAACTAAACAAGGGATGTAGGTATTAAGGAAACGCCCATATAATGTTTAAGCCTTTATTGAGCACGGTAGGCAATATACGGTCTTGTTTAGGTTAAATCAATTATCGATTAGAAACATTAACAATGCAGATTAAACTTCAAGTTAGTTCTATAAAGCATGTTGTGTATCAACAACAAGGTAGGTACGTTAAACTCAGGTAATTTTATTAATATTGCAGGCCGGTAACTTTGGTTTCCTTATTACATAAATATACAATAAATCTCGTCCACTCTAGAGTTAGAATGGAGGTTAGTTGTTCAGTGGTCCGTATCCTTTTTTGTTATTTGTTTGACTACTGGCTTTTTCTCTTGAGGGATCAACCACTTCTTATTGTACACTGAAAAGAAGAATATTTTCTTTAAAATTGTAAAAAAAAGATCTAAAAAAAGACCAAACTCCAAATCCAAACGCATAGGAGCCCCTTTGACTTTTTGAATAAAAAGATTAAGAAAAGAGTATAATTGTCTGTACTATAAAGGTTGAGTCTTACTATACCTTCCGTTTCCATTCCATATCCATTCCATATCCGTTCCGTATATTTTATTGTATTGACGCTATACGTAAGCTTCCGTTCCGTATCAGTTCCATACTTTTTATTGTACAATTTATATCATTACGAAAGTTTTATTCTAAAAATTTGTATCTTTTGAAAAAGGTAATAGATTTAATTAGGAGTTGAAAGAATTAATAAATATAAGCAAAATTTTAACAGAGCTGGTGCAAATGTAAAAACTTGAAAACGCTGTTTCCGATACGCTGCAGTCCGTCCGCCAAAAAAACGTGTGGAAGGGAAAAATATGGAATGGAAGGGAAACGGAACGTATAGTGTGCATTGTCCTATTAATTTACATTATATAATATTTTATGCAAACGGAAGGGAAACGGAAGGGAGCTGATATGGAAGGTATAGTGAGAATCAACCTTAATATTACTTACTATCCATGAATCGACATCATGGGTCTCCAATAGTCTCCATCCTTGACAGTTCTGTTTGATATTTTAATTGATACTGTATTTACTTGTGTCTACCCTACATTATATTTTTACAATTTTTAAATGCAATTCGAACGTGATAAAGGTTGATTCTTACTATACCGTCCATATCAGCTCCCTTCCGTTTCCCTACCGTTTACATAAAATATTATATCATGTAAATGAATAGGGCAATGCACACTATACGTTTCGTTTCCCTTCCATTCTATATCCTTTCCTTCCATACATTTTTTTGTCGGACGGACTGAAGCGTATCGGAAACAGCGTTGTCAAGTTCTTACATTTCTACCAGCTCTGTTAAAATTTTGCTAATATTTATTTATCCTTTCACCTCTTAATTCAATCTAGTACCTTTTTCAAAAGATGCAAATTTTTAAAATAATACTTTCGTAATGATATAAAGATTACAATAAAAAATATGGAACTGATACGGAACGAAAGCTTACGCATAGCGTCAATACAATAAAAATACGGAACGAATATGGAATGGAAACGGAAGGTATAGTGAGAATCAACCTTATAAATCGGAATTTACATCCCCCATCGCGCTTTACCTAAGTTTGTTGATAATAAGCTCCTTCCTTAGTCTTTTTATTCAAAGATAGCACCTAATAAATGCTGTACAGGGTGAGTCAATTATAGAGTAAAGTCCATTATCTCATTTGTTTCAAGGTTTACAAAAAAATGTTAAAGTTAAAAGTTGTAGGGAAGGTTAAGATACACATTTTAAAATTATTATACAAGGTGCTTCACAAAAATGTGGTGAGTATAACATATGCTTTTTTAAATGCAACACCTTATTTTTATTATATTTTTAGATTCTGCGTAAAAATATATAACTTTTTTATACATAATGGCAACAAAATAGGTAACTAAAATTAATAGTTTTTGTAATATTTGAATTTGTTTATTTTTTTTTAATTTTTATAACTAAATTTTTTCTTTAAAAACTTTTAATATACTTATGACCACTAGGTAAATATTTGACTAACAAATGAACTATTATCAGTCATTTTTGCTTCTACCATGATAATTGGCTGTTATTGGTTAAAAATTACTAGATTTTTAATAGACGCCTTTTGATACATACTAAACGCTTCTCTGAATAGTGATATTTAGCCATTTTAAATAGCTCTTTTCTTCTTTTTTTTGCCCTTCTGATTCCATATACCTACTTCAAAAAATGGTAAGCATTTTTCAAGCGTTACGTAAATTTGTTTAACTAGTCAAAAGTTACTGATAAACCGGCTTCCGTTTGGATTCTACGCAGTGGTGTTTTGGTATTTTTTAGACTCTCATTCAGTAGCGAAATACCCAGGCTTTTTTCAAATAAAAACATAGGTTTAATCATATACTGGTTATCAAAAAGTGTCCAGTATTAAAAGTGAGTGTTTTGGTGTACCTATTGTGGTGATCTAGTGGTCTATTTTTCTATTATAATATCAACTACCGCTCTTTATTCTTTTCTTACCTGTTAAAAGCGATACAGGTCCTTTTGGTTTTTGGTTGATTTCTTCTTCTTTTGTTGGCTTTATGTTGTATCCAGTTGAACTAACTTTGTAGATAGGCAAAGGAATCACAGTTGAAGACACAGGTACCAAATCTATAAACGGCATTAATAAATTAAATATGTAGTAGATAAAATAAAATCTATAAATTATATTTTGTATAAGCGACCATTGATTCTTCCATCCAAAAGATTATGTCATTCTTTTGGTAGTTCTATGTCCACGAAATATTATTAAAACAAAAATAATTTTATAAAAAATAACTAAAATAATTTTCAACATGAATTATTTATTTACTACTGTAAATTGTTTTAAACTTTCATTGCAAATAAAAGTCTCCTAATTATTTATTTAAAACTAATATGTTACAGTTTTCCAGTCCTATTATTTATAAAATAATAAAGTCTAGCGTGTGGATATGTTTGGACCGATTAAAATATATTAAAAAAAAGTTTTAAATTATTAAATGTTAAAATTATTTTAATAATATTTATTTCAAGGTTTTTAGTTAATCCTTTAATAAAAACCTATACCATCTACAGTATAGAATCCAATATAAACAACTACAAATGCTACATTCCCGTCATACCTAATTTTATCTCTGCCTTGCCTACATACCATAAATATATTTAAATTTATTACAACTATGAGGAAGAGGCGAGTGGCTTTTTTACCGCTGTAAATATTCAAATGGTTTAACAAGTTTATGGTTAACATATTATGCAAAAAGGCGTAGAAACATATGAAGTATTATTAACTTTATTAATTTTGAAATTGTTATATTATTATTATGATGTACCATTTTGGTTGAAATCATAAGGTATCTCCGTTATTATCGAAGATAGAAGGGTGCGGATTGCACAGACCTGTCCCACTTTTTTGACAAACGGAAGATGCCGTAAACAAAATTTTCATAAGCCTCTTCGTTTCTGAGCTACAGGGTCTTTTTGAAAATTTTGCAATTTGAGACACCCTCTGTATCTCTGTTATTGTTAAAGGCAAGGTTTACGTAGAATGCAGGTGTCGTCTATTATTCTACGAAAAGAATATTTTTAAAGATGTGAACTAAAGTTATGTTTTCTTAAATGGAACACTCTGTATATTTATAAATTATGTGATCTGGCTTGTAATAATCTTCTTAAAAATATATGTCACTCTATATTTATTTTCACTATTTACTGCAATATCTAAAAGTTTTTTATTAAAAGATCATATTTATTAGTAGACTATGATTGATTATTGATTATTATAAAAGAAACTAAAGAATTATTAAAAGTATACTGCTATCTGTCTCTTGTTTTATTTTGGAGCCACTAATTAATTCTTTATATATTAGGGAGTTGGAAAACTTAACTCTCTACCGCTATTTGTAAATCTTGGAAGTTATCGTACCGGAACTTTTAGATATTCCTTTAGCTAATTTACTTAACAGAAATTTACTTTCAGAAAGATGCCCCCCCCTCACAACTATGAAAATGTTATAATTTTGTTAAATTATTTTTTCTTGAATCAATGATTTGGAACCAATTTCAATGAACCCGTATGATGGCCTTCCTGATTCTCAGATTTGTCCGTTCTCCATTTCTGATTTTGGGGATTTTTGAAATATGAAATATATTGTAGCAACTACAACAATGTGGAACGCCTGGAAAATGCTTTAAATATACATAGGAATACATTCATATGTTAACTTTTGAGATTGTCGCTTAAAACAAAATTGTAGTTTACATTTCAATCTAGAGTGCCATGGCTGTGTTAAAAACTATAATTTTTAACCAAGGAGTTTGAGAAAAAATACATTTGATCGTTTAATGTTTTTCGTGTCTTGTCCTGGCCGGTTAAAAGATGCCCAAATCGTATTTTTAAGCACATCTCATTTTTTTCAAATGGAACGAGGGTGGTCCATTAGCATATTTGGAAAAAACATTTTTTTTTATGAATAATTTGGTACCACACACTTGGTATTTCGTGTCAAAATGTCGTTATGAACCGCATGTTGCAATTTCAAACAAACCATATTCGAAAATGTCAAAAGTTGACATATGATATGTCATTCTATTCAGAGTGGTATTTTCTATCGAATAAAGTAACAAAATACCGAGGGTGCCATTTAAAAATGAGAAGTTGTAGTAATTTCCCGGTGAAACAGGAAGTGACCGAAAACAATTAATTGAATACGTCAATCAGTCCTATTTTATGTCATATACTAACATACCAAATCTCGTTCTGTAATATGAACAAATAAAAAAGTTATAGGGGTGAGCTACTTTTGAGACTTACTCGGGGTCAACTTTCGTTTAGCTGAAATCAGTTATTAGAAAAAAAAATTGTCTTTAAAAAGCTACTGTGAACCACGGAAAACACAATTTTCCTGCGGAAATGCGTAATTTCCAAATTTCGCACTTTAGAATAACTGAAATCTGCTATAAAAAATATATTTTGCGTTTTATTTTTAATATTTTTCTGAACATATAAACACAAAAATTTTCTTGCGAAAATAAGCTGTTTTCATTTTCTAAGGAAATTTATTAGACTTTAGAATAGCTGAAATCAGTTATATAAAAAATAAATATATTTTTGCCTTTTAGGAGCGTTTACAAACTGCGTTTATAAACAATTTTCTGCGGAAATGCTTGATTTTCATTTTCCATATTTGTAAGCATAAATACATATAAAATTATATATAATATATATATTAGTTTTTATCACTTTTGAACTAGAAAAAAATCATTTAAAAGTGTCTAAAATGCTAACCAATCTAATAATAAATCTAATAATATTTTTACAAAATCACAATTAATTATTAAAAGATAAAAACCACAGCTTAACACCCTCCACAAAGAAAAGCTAACCAAAGCAACCCAAATCCTAGCCAATCTAATAATATTTTTGCAAAATCACAGTTAATTATTAAAATATAAAAGAAAACTGCATGATCCAATGATTTTTTGTTTTGAATCAGCCTTATTTACGTAAAGCTTTAATAAAAAACAAGAATAAGTGCAACATTCCGAGGTACTTATAGTTTGCAAGAACCTCAATTATCTATTCTACAAGAATTGTTATTCCTCCGAAAGATGTATTACCACACCCAGCACCCCTATTCGCTCCCGGGTCCCGTAAGCTTCTAAACTGAAAAATCTATGAAAAACAAAGTGTACAAAATGACATTGACACATTTCCGCAGGATTTTTTTGTTTGTATTTCTTTGCTCGTAAAGGCTCGTATAAAACAAATATAAGTTCATTTTTCATGTAACTGATTTCGGCTATTCTAAAGTCAAAGCATTTTTATATGTAAAATAAAAATAAAAAATTTCCGCAGACACTTTTTTGTGTTTTTATGTTTAGAAAAATGTCTAAAACACACCCCGACGACTAGTTTTGATGTAACAGATTTCGGCTATACTAAAGTCCGAAAAATGAAAATGACGCATTTCCGCAGGACAATTTTTGTATATTTGTACTCCTAAAGCTTGATTTTCATGCATCCGTTGTCCGACGATACGATGATACGATATTAATTTTATTGGTTGAATTTAAAGACTTCGGTTGGTTAGAAACGGTTAACCAATTGAAGCCTTTAAATACAACCAATGAAATTAATATCGTATCAACGTATCGTCGGACAATGGATGCATGAAAATCGAGCTTAACGCCTTCTAGAACGCATATATAAAGTCATTTTTTATATAACAGATTTCAGCTAAACGAAAGTTGAGCCCTTACTCGGTATAGATAAATTGTTTTGATTCTAAAAACACGTTTTAGTTTGTGGCAAAACACCCTGTATGAAAAATCGCACAGTTTAGGTCAACAGTTTTTTTTTAAATTCTAACTTGTAAATTTACGATCTTTTAATGAAAAAATCCGTAACAAATTAAAAAAAAAATAAAAGCAATCACCAAAAATTATAAATTTAACAAAAATAATTTATGATTTTCGTACCGTTGTTAATTAATATCTAATTACATACCCTAATTGTAAATAATAGAATAATTCTAAATGAAATATAGTCCTGTAAACTAAATATTTTAAATAAATTTCGACATGATAAATCTCGAAATTACTTACGATCGATTAAATAAAATGCCATTAATTTATATAAATCGAAATAAATTAAATTTAGTGTTAACACTGGCCGGCAATTCCGAAACGCTTTTATTAAAACGAGAGTCAAGACCGCAAAAAATCCAGTCAAATATGTGGCAGAATAAAGATTAAAATTATTTCGACTCTTTTATTTCTACTGGAAAACCTTTTAATTTAAATGAAAAATTCGTGGCGGTCACAATAGGCCCAGAAATACCGGTAAAACATTTTAATAAACCGATACCAAATTTTAATTGCAACAAAATCTAACTGTTTTTGATTGGACCTTTTTTAATGTGTTATACTGAGTGACAACAAAATCATTGTACAGGGTGGGTCAAATTCGTCGCTTTTAAATGGAAACACCCTTTTCTATAGGATATAGACGAAAACTAATATCGGTGTCTGGAGCTCAATTTTCATCAAAAACATAATGGTGAAAACCGCTCATCAATATCTGTTACCGTTTCGAAGTTACGTGGTGTTTTTCTTATGTGCATTTTTAACAAATCGCTGTAACTTTTTTGCTATGGAAAATTTTGTATTTCTATGAAAACATTTCCAAAGCACCTTTTTACGTAGAATTTAATGGTTTAAGTATAATTTTTTTAAAATTAATAATTTAAGAGTTACCAACAGAAAAATTGACTTTTATTTCGGACACCCTCTATATTTTTAATTAACTGAAAAGAATTTCAAATTACCTTTCCAAAAATATAGACACTTGATATTTTGTTATAATCCCCTTCGAAATGCAGAATTTTTAAAAGTTCGCCCCTCTTAACTAATAGGCTTTGGACCCCTTATTGATGATATGCCCTTAATGGAACTCGAAAACATATTTTTCAGCAAGACGACGCACCGCCTCTAAACGCTGAAGTTTTCAGCAAATTTTTGCAGCCAATTTCAAGAATAATTGGATAGCTAACCAAGATCCCAGCCGTTGGCCGTCGAGGCCGCCTGACTTAGTGCCCATGGATCTAATCCTATGGATATATTTGCGGAAAAATAAAGGTTCCTTATTTTGAAATTGTCCGTATAATCTAGACAATAATTAGAAGTACTTAGCAGTTATGAGAGGGTATCTTTCATGCCCCACTGAGTTAATGAATTCCGCGAGATATGTTCAAAAACGACCCCGTCTGTCCATAACAGAAGACGGTCGAAATGTCGAACACCTGTAGCAAAATCTCATGTCTTACTTTGCTATTTATTTTTATTGTTATTAGATATCGTTTAAATGTGTTCATGTTGGTTAAATATAGTTTAAATTGTTTAAAATTCTGCATCTCTCATAGCAAATATTATTTTCGTTTTAATTGATGCTCACAGCTAGAATTTTTTTGCATTACAGCCGGTGCCGTGCAAAGCCTACTTATTTAAAGCGGGCGAATTTTTATATACTCTATATCTCGAAGAGGAATCGAGTAAAATATTAAATGTGTTATATTTTTGGAAAGGTAATTTTAAATTCTTTTCAATAAATTAAAAATATACAGGATGTCCCATATAAAGAATCAAATTTTCTGTTGATAATTCTTAAATTATTAATTTTAAAAAAATTATACTTAAACCATTAAATTCTACGTAAAAAGGTGCTTTGGAAATGTTTTCATAAAAATACAAAATTTTCTATAGCAAAAAAGTTACAGCGATTTGTTAAAATACATATTTTTGAAAAACACTCCGTAACTCCGAAACTGTAACAGATATCGACACCATCATGTTTTTGACAAAAATTGAGCTCCAGACACCGATATTAGTTTTTGTCTATCTCCTATAGAAAAGGGTGTTTCCATTTAAAAGCGTCGAATTTGATCCACCCTGTACAGGGTGGCCCATTTTGGTTGAAATCATACGGTATCTCCGTTACTAGTAAAGATATGAGGATGCGGTTTGCACAAACCTGTCCCATTTTTTGTCAAACGGAAGATTTTGCAAACAAAATTTTCATAGCCCTCTTCGTTTCTCAGCTACAGGGTTTTATCGAAAATTTTGCAATTTGGGATACCTCCTGTGTCTCTGTTATCGTTAAATGTATCGAGAAGGCGAGAACTGTTTATTGTAGAACTTTTTACGTAGAATACAGTGGCTTAATCTATTTTTCTACGAAAAAAATATTTTTGAAAATATAAACTAAAGCTATGTTTTTTCAAATGGAACACCCTGTATAAATCATATGATCTCTCTTGCTATGAGTTTCTGAAAAATATATATCACTCTATATTTATTTTCACTGTTTACGGCACTATTTAAAATATATCATTTTCTTATTAGTAGGCCGTGATAAATAAAAAAATCAAAATGGTATTTACTAAGACAGTAATACACATATTAAAATTTTATTTGGGATTGATATATTTTACTTTTGAACTGAACCACTGAATCTGTCAATATATTGTTCTTTTTTTATATAACGGAATTTAATATAATGAGATGGGTTTGCAAATATCTAAAAACTTGCATTATTAAAGCATTTTTCAGGTCTTCGACACGATATATTTCAAGTTTCAAAAATCCCCAAAATCAGAAATCGAGAACGGATAAATCTGGGAATCGGGGAGGCCATCATATGGGTTCATTGGTTCCAATATTTGAGAAATAATAATATTATAACAAAATTCTAATATTTTCTAATTTAAGTTGTAAGGGGGAGCCCCATCTTGTTGAAAGTATATTTCACGTAAATTAGCTAAAGGAATATCTAAAATTTCCTGTGTGTACGATAGCTTCCAAAATTTCAAATAGCGGTAGAGAGTTAAATTTCCGTAATAATATATGTATATATATTTATTACTGGCTCCCAAAATAAAACAAGAGACAAATAGCAGTGTACTTTTAATAATTCTTTAGTTTCTTTTATTATCAATCATAGCCTACTAATAAATATCATCTTTTAAAAAATATATTTTTATACATATGCCCTTGGCATTTTGACATTTTAGTTTTTTTTTAATCTAGTAACAAAGTGTTTTAAATAATTTGTATTATAGTAACTTACCTTTTTCTAAAATCTTGTTTTCATTAACTTTGTACATGGTGGGCAATCCCTTGACAGTAACTGTCAAAAAAGCTAACAGAACAAAAACTTTAATATCCATTTTCACTTGGTAAAATTAAAAATTACCCGACGTATAATCGCTGACGCGCACCTGCACTGAGAAAAAACGCGAAAATAAAAACCATGATCCGATGATCAAGATCCATATGAATGAAGAATTTGCAATGTGTTCCATCGTACCAAGTTGTTTTTTATCGGTTTTCCATTGATGAGATAGGCGATTGTTCGTTTGGGATGCTGTGTCGGATTTTGAAGGAGTGAAAGTCAGATTTAGTGAGTGGGTAGATGGCGATGACTAGAAACGTAAACATATCGGATCGGTATTATGAAATTATTTGTTAGACAAATAAGGAGTTATTAATAGATTATTTGGTAATTTTAAGATTAGTTCTTGATAAAAATTGATACAATCAATCGCCATTATTCATTTTCGAACGCATTTTGACTAGAGGTGTGCAAAGACTATATATAGGCCAGTCAATCTGGAGGTTGAGGTGGAAGAAATTAGTAACCAATCGATCTCAACGGGACTGTGTAGATAATGATCTCATATTTAACCCCTCAAAAGTCTCATTCGGTCCCAGCGGGGGAAGTTTGAAAAAAAACCGCCGCCATCTTGGATTTTTTCGTTTTTTTCAAATATTTCCGTTTGCATAACTTTTTTCGAAAAAACTAAAGATATGTTTTTTGTAGAGAATTAAATTTAGAATATTTCACCTTCAATCACTTTTTTTCTAAAATAAATAGTAATAGAGATAGAGCAATTTTTTACTATACGTTTTATAAATTTTCCAGTTTTTTTAAACCAATCAGCTATAATTTTTGCGTTAACAGAATAGTGTTAATATAAATAAACAAAGTATAAATTTAAGCATTAAAACAATTAAAAATGACGTTTCAATATTATTTATTAAATACAATTATTATTAAAAAAAATATTATTAAATTAAAGTTATTACATAAAATCTGCTATAACGTCATCCTGAGCGTCATTTTCGTCCTCAACTAAAATACAAAAGTTTGTGCAACTGATTCCGTAGCATTGACCACACTTTGAAGTGAACATTTGAAACATTTAAGACCCAGTTTTCTACAAGAGCACTTTAGAACACTGACTCTCTTTGCAATTGCAAAATATTAATTTTAGTAGGTCAGGAGGCGCCACATTTTCTGTTGATTGAATAGGTGTCAGATTGCCTTTTTGATCTTTCTTCCATCCATATTGTAAAGGATCTAACTTGTTACCAATCCATTTTTGAACAAATGAACAAATTACACCTTAGAACATTTCCTATAATAGATATATCTTTACAGTTACATGGAAATATGTCCTGAATAAATGGAGTTTTGCAGAGTTCTCAATTGGACGCAAATTAGCTAAATTAAAGGTAGTCTTAAGGGCTTGTCTTGATGTAATCCTATTGTATAGGGTGTATTATAGATGGTTAATATGTTTAATATAGCTTGGGCAGTGATATAGCTTTAAAACATAATTTAATCCTGACTGAAACAAGTCATCTGTGTTAGGATTTTTTTTCTAAAAATACGTCGAGGTATTGACAAAGATCAAAGATCGACATCTTTTTTCACTACCGACAGGCACATTTTTGACTTATTTCAGTCAGGATTAAATTATCTTTCAAAGCTGTATCACCACCCAAGCTATATTAAACATATGCACCATCTGAGAATCCTTTAAGACTACCTTTAATTTAGCTAAATTGCCTCCAACTGAGAACTCTGCAAAACTCCATTTACTCAGGACATACTTTCAGATAACTGTAAAGATATATGTATCTATTATATGAAATATTATAAGTTGTATTTTTTTAAATGCAAGAATGGATTGGTAACAAGTTAGATCCTTTACAATATGGATGGAAGAAAGATCAAAAAGGCAATCTGACACCTATTCAATCAACAGAAGATGTGGCGCCTCCTGACCTACTAAAATTAATATTTTGCAATAGCAAAGAAAGTCAGTGTTCTGAATTGCTCTTATAGAAAACTGGGTGTTAAATGTTTCAAATGTTCACTTCAAAGTGTGGTCAATGCTACGGAATCAGTTGCACAAACTTTTTTATTAATAATATAAATAATAAAAAAAATAATATTTTGCTATTGCAAAGAGATTCAGTGCTCTAATTGCTACAAATGCTCTTGTAGAAAATTGGATCTTGCATATTCTTGAAAGTATGGTCAGTGCTACGAAATCAGTTGCGCAAACTTTTGTATTTTAGTTGAGGCTAAAATGACGCTCAGGATGACGTCATAGCATATTTTATTTAATAACTTTAATAAAAAAAATTAACGATAATTATTTTATTTAATAAATAATATTTAAACGTAATTTTTAATTGTTTTAATGCTTAAATTTATACTTGGTTTTTCTATATTAACACTATACTGTTAACGCAAAAATTATAGCTGATTGATTTAAAAAAACTGGAAAATTTATAAAACGTATAGTAAAAAATTGCTCTATCTCTATTACTATTTATTTCAGAAAAAAAGTGATTCAAGGTAAAATATTTTAAATTTAATTCTCTACATAAAATATGTCTATATTTTTTTTGAAAAAAGTTATGAAAACGGAGGTATTTGAAAAAAAACGAAAAAATCCAAGATGGCGGCGGTTTTTTTCAAACTTCCCCCACTGGGGCCGAATGGGACTTTTGAGGGGTTAAATAGGAGATCATTATCTGCATATTCCCGTTGAGACTGGTTGGTTACTAATTTTTTCCACCTTTACATATAATACTCGGCTACGTTTACTGGCCTATAAACGAGTCCTTCATTTAAACGAGTATTAAAAATTGGCGCCGGGAGGCAAAAGGTTGGTAGGCAGTTCTTTTAGTTTCAAAGTATAGGAATTTTTCCATTTTTTTTTATCTCATAAACTGCGACTGATTTTGATGTTATTACAAATTTTGTTGTAAATATTATTCCTAATCTTAAATTGAAAACCGCGTTTCGCTAGCTACTGTAATTTTGGAGTTACGATTTTTTAAAATTTTTAACCCCCTCCCATACCCCCTTACCAACCACCCACGCCCACCAAAAACTAATAGCCAGATTCTCGGGTGCCACAGTATTTTTGTTCCAAATTTGGTTAAAATCGGTTTAGCGGTTTTTGAGTTATCGTGTTACAGACAGACGGACAGACAGACAGACACCATGAACATATTTTGTATTTATGTAGATCATTTGTGGCCCAAACTTTTGGTGGCCCAAACAAAAAAAAAACTTTTTTTTGTCGCTCTTAATAGTTAATAAAAAAACTTTAATTAAAAATGATTATATTATTAAATTAAAACTTTAAATTAGTCACGAGATTTGATTCAATGCTTAGAATATGGTTTGTTCAATTGAATCGTGGTATACAATATTTTATAAAATACTAGCTCATTCGGCCACGCGTTGCAGTGGCTAAGGATAGTAATGGGTAAGTACCCGGTATATTGAAATTTGTTTTTGTATCCGGCAAAAGTTCAATAAATAGTATATTGAATTTGGGTAAATATCATTACACCTGGTATTTACCCAATTATACTCACGTTTTTCATTTAAGGTATTGTAACAATTTTTAAAAACAATTTGTTAAATTAAAATTAATGAACTACTAATATCGCTTTAAAAAAATACAGGTTGATGGTAAAAGGCAGTGGCGGCTCGTGGTTATTATTGTAGGGACGTCAATATCTAAAAATATTGCGTCGTTTTTTTAAGACGCGACCATATTTAATTGGTTTCTTATAAGGTACTTGTACGTTTAGTTACAGGAAAATAAATCTAAAAATAAATACAAATTATGTTAAAATGAAACCCATTAGCGTAACTAGCAATTTATCCTAGGGCTAGGGCTTTTCTTTTTTTAAAAATGAACAATAATTTAAAAAAACACATTTTTTGCATAAAACGTTTTCATGAATTTCTCTATCAATAAATTTCATAGACTTGGTTATCAAACCGTGTTGCAATATATTACTTAAATACTTAAAAATTTTGTAAAAAATAAAAATTAACACATTTTTTGAACACAACAAAATAATATTAACTAAACAAAACTAGAAAATGTCATTTTTATTGCATCACAAGCAAATAAAAATTAATACGTAGCCAAGAGTCTTAATTCGGGATTTCTCTGGGGGTGTCCAGATGTACCTGGGGGGGCCAGGCACCCCCGGGTACCCCTGTAGTTACACCAATGATGAAACCTACCTTTACATTTTTAAACAAGTGGTCTAGTGCCATTTCACTAAAAATTCAGTCAATGTTCTTTACACAAATTTTCCACGGTAGGATTTATAAGACACTTAAATAATAATGTTACAAAAATATAAATACACATACACATTTCTAAAAGTTTGATTTTACATTTTTTTTATATTTTAAGTCAATTCTTTCTCTAAACGTTTTTCGAAATTTAATCAATTGTTTTCTTTTAACCGCACGATTTTACAAACTAAACACCTATGTTGTCTATTTGAAAATATCTATTCCAGAATCAGTCAACAAGAGTTCATCATTTATCCAGACCCAGAAAATTATAAATTGTTATCTACACTTACACAAATTTCGCGTTACATCTCAAACCCTTGGCTACGACAAAGCTACGGCAACTAAAACTAAATTTTAGTTTTCGATATTAAAAATTTAAATATTGATTTATACTGGCTAAACCAAACATTATACGCGATAAAGGATACAAAAACTTAGAGAAGGTAGTAGAGGTAGAGATAGAGTAGAATATCTAATCTGGTATTTAACAACTCTACATTTTCTGAAAATTCTTATTAAATAGGATTATTGCTTATATGTTTATATACTCAAGGAAAATATCATTAGTTCTCGTACTAACAAACAACCTACTTAGTTTTAGCGGGACCTTGCCTAAGAAACAACAACAATAAAAACACAAAGATAGTACACAATACAGCATATTTCCTTTCTCTTTTATATATGCGCTGCTTTTTAAACGCATTGAGTAGAGGATTTTGATCGAGGGTAAAACAGGTGCTTTTAATGACACCTGTCAAGATTAAATAGACAAGTAACATAGTTATTTATGCCATTTACGCATCAAAAGCTTTAATAAGACGAGGCTTTTTGACTCAAGGGACATTTACTTATAATATACAGGGTTATATTATACAGGGTGCTATAAATTTGAGGTACGAGCATTGGTATCTCGGTAACCGTAATAGATACGAACATAGTTAAATTGGGGCAAAGTTGCCTCGTATTGGGATGTTCACCAAGATG